GGAACTGGCGGTCAGTTTCAGCAGCGGCTGAATCTGGACACCAGTTCCGACTTACATACAGATTCAACTTAAGAACAAACCTACAGTCCCTATCTTGTACGTAACCCGGGGACTGCCTGTATTGCAGTTATGAATTAATAAAGTACAGAGACTAAATTAAGGTCCTGGATTATATCTTGGCCCGACTGAAATAAATGGGACTTTTGCTGCTGCCTCCAATGGAACTAGGATTTCACCCATTTTCTCAGGTAAAGATACATTTGCAAGAATTTCTTGCTGTAAAAACTGCACTGAATGATAATCTTCAATATAATTCAAATAATCTGTCATATTGTGCCCCTTTGCACTTAGCGGCCCCAAAAGACCAAATTCTTCCATTGCGAAAAAAATTAAGCATTAAAGCTTTTTTGTTCTAGGCCAGAGGCTCCCAAACTGTGGCTGATAACTAGCGGTCCAGAGAGAGCTTTTTGGCCACATAGTGATAAGGATGTAAGAGTATAGTCCACTAACCAATTAACAAATAAGCAAAAGCTTATTACTTAATACTATCAACTATACACATTTAAATGCAGAGGCGCAGTGGGGGAAACCTACCCCCGCTATGGCTCTGCATTTAAATGTAGTAGGAGCTAGGTGGGCAGGCAGCCCAGTTCAGCCCCGGCTCAGGGACCTACCCCCACTGCAGCTCTGCATTTAAAATCTAGTCCCTGCCCGCCCAGCTCCTACTACGTTTTAAATGCAGAGCTGCAGCGGGGGTAGGTCCTGGACCTGGCATGAGCTGGGACTCAGCGCTTTGTCTTCCCTTATCGACTAATTGTGTAGTTGATAAAAATTCTAGCAACTACACGATTAGCAAATTATGCACTTAATATCCCTACATGGTGCTGACTCTTCTTGTTTCCAGGTGAAGCAAGCATAACAAATATAAAGAAAGAAGATGCAAAACAGTAAACAAAGTGTGATCACCACTTTTAGAAAAGAAAGTCTCTCAAAGTAAAGAGAGCTAAAACACACATACTTTCCCCAGCATTTCATTTCTGTGTAAATGATTTCTCAAGTTGCCACAGATGTATAGGATTGTTAATGAGGAGAGAAGTGTCCATGTGACAATCTACACCAGGAAAAAATGTGAGGCGCTCTAGGCAGCGTGATCACCACTCTGCATTTCATGCCCCTGCTCAGCATTTTTTCCCACGTGCAGGGCTCAAAGTCCCGTAAGTCAATGTTGTCACAGCAGGTTATGCAATTGGGTATATGTGACACTTTAGGTCTCTTATAGAATTGCATTTTAGGCATAACTGAGGAACAGCCGCTCCCTGTCTCCAGTCACAGAGAGCAGGAAAGGGATCATATGACCAATTGATGAAACGCCAGTTAGCGCTAAAGGGCATTGAAATATTTGTGGCATAGTTTCTCTCAGTCACTAATTGGTAAAGCTATTATCCAAAGGATTCTAAGATCTTTCAAAGGGCAGAATTCTTATTTTTATGTAAGTAATGCCTCTCCTGAGATAACTAACCATGAACAATTGTTTATTTCTGTTCACCCCTCAGGTAGTGATAAAAAGGAATTACAAATTTGTCATTCCACCCCAAAATTGAAGGACATTTTCCCTAATTCCAACCTCACAGAGAGCTGAAATCTTGTAGATAATGGTTATGCTTTTATCAGACTCGCCCATGTCTATGGGAAATCAGATTGAACCTGTTTAAGAAAACATACCAAATGTTCTTTCAAAAGCTACAATAATTTTGAAGCAAAGCTAATAACTTAATTGAATCAATAAATTCCAATTTGTAGCTCTGCATATAATGGGTCAGATAATCAGAATAGCTTCATTGACTTCAATGAAGCAGCATCATTTTACAACTGAGTATATGACCCAGTGGCAACATCTAGACTGCTTTCCTCTTTCAAAAGAGGAAATTCAAATAAAGCGCTAATTAGCATATTCTCATGTTTCTTTGCTTTTTTCGGAAGAGGATTTTTTTTGAAAAAAAAAAAAAAAGCAGTCTAGACAAGATTTTTCGCACAAAAACCCTCTTTTTCAAAAGAACCCTGTAAACCTCATTTTTTGAGGAAGAAGAGTTTTCGAAAAAGGGAATTTTTGCGCAAAACCCGATCTAGACTGCTTTTTTTCTTCCCCGAAAAAACCTCATCCGAAAAAAGGATAGGAAGAGGATATGCAAATGAAGTGGGAGAATATGCTAATCAGGGCTTAATTTGAATTTCCTCATTTGCATTTCCTCTTTCAGAAGAGGAAAGCTGTCTGGACATAGCCACTATCTCTGCTTATATATAAGGTCTGTGAAGGAGCGTACTAGCCCTCTAAAGATCAACCAGGGACTGAAAGCCTGGAATAATTAGAGCCCTGCAAATTTATGCATATCCGCTTTATATCCACAAGTATCCACATCCATGTGGATATCCACAACTCAGTTTTGCAGATATGGATGCAGATAGAAATTTTTTATCAATGCAGGGTCTCTGGAAATAATCAACGAGATTGCCAATTCCACCTGGGACTTCCTTATTTAAACAAAGAAAAAATTGAGCAGGGGAGATACGTTAGAGACATCTAGCTGACAAATGAGGGTGATTTCTCTCCAGCAGGTTAGCCTGGCCAAGCACAAGAACTCTCTCAAGTTTTGGAGACACAAGCAGGAAGTCTGAGGTAAATAATCCATGTTGTTTTGGTCTCCTCATCTAAAAAAACAGACTCTGAAAAGATGCACTTCGTATGGAAGTGTTTTTATATGAGGACTAGGGATGTGAACGGTTAACCAGTGGAACGGAGGGAGGGACATAACAGAGGTCTATAGAATCATGAATGGTGTGGAGAAAGTGAACAGGGAAGAGTCCTCTTCCTCCCCTAACCCTCCCCCCCCCACACACACACATATAACACAAGGACTATGGGTCACCCAAATAAATTAATCAGCAGCAGGTTTAAAAACACACATAAGAAAACACCTTTTCACAGGTTCCGCAGGCAGCTTGTGGAACTCTTTGCTAGGGAATGTTGTAAAGGTCAGAAGCATAAGCCTGGTTTAAAAAAAGAACTAGGTAAGTCCGTGGTCTATAGGTCCATCAATGGCTATTAGCCAAAATGGTCAGACATGCAATCCCATGCCCTGGTCTTCATAACCCACCCCCTTGCCAGAAGCTGGAGGGTAGGAAATAGACCACTCAAAATGTCCCTGTCACGTTCATTCCCTTGGAAGCATCTGGCATTGGCCACTACCAGAGAGAGAATACTGGGCTAGATGGATCTATGGCAGCTCTTAGGTTGGGAAAAGTGGACTGAACTAACTCTCAAGCTTGGAGGAGAACTGGGAGCTGGAGCAGACAGATGATTCCAAAGAAGTAAAGAATGATTCCAGCCTGGTTGGGATGAAATGTGGCTTCTGGAGCTGGTTATTTTTACTGAAACAATGGAGGATAATAAACCAGCGTAATATTGAAGAAGAAAGTCTCTAGAAAAGCAACCTAAGGATTACCTCAGCAGATCTACACTTGCCTAAAAGGGGTTGCTCCAGGTCGGACACACCCATTTATAGCATCCAAAGCTTGCTAGGTGCTTTCCACTCAAACTCTTATGGTGCACTTATTTGATCTTGCCTTTCGTAGGTTGAACTCACAGAAATGTGTACACAGAAGAAGAGTATAAAAATCCTACAGTAGACGCTCATTAGTTGCCACATCAGTGCCCTTTTGCTATATTGCTCCAAAGCAGCTGTTGCTGTTATGGGGAGTGTCAATAATTCACAGCAAGGAAAGCGTTCCCCAGGAAATGTTGCTTGCAAGCAGCAGTTGCCCTTACAAGGTGTTGCTGCAAACAAGCATCTACTGTATAACAAATAAAGAGATATTATGCTGTAACACAATTCTCCCTTTGTGGCAAGAGAAAAACAAACCATATGGACACATTAGTCATGTCATATAAAGCTCTACCAGAAAGCTGTCAGACACTGTGGTGATGAAGACAGAATAGAAACTTAGCCAGAATTTACATCCCTAATAGGGATCTACTAAAGGGTTAACCGGTTACCTAGTAAGAATGCCCTTACTGGCACGCTTACCTGGGTAACCAGCAGGTTCAGACTGGCAGCCAGATCAACCGCACAGCGGGTTGCTCCAGCAAGGCAGGGCCAACTGATCTGTGGGCAGGGGGGTGCAATGCAGTGAGCCCAACCATGCTGAAGTAATCCCCTGGCCAAGGCAGTTAACTGGTTAAACATTTTGTAAACTGGTTAACTGCCTAACTGGGATTTTACAACCCTAATCCCTATCTGAGGGAATTTATAATCTTACATCTTGCTGGATGCGGATTTACATTAATGAATGTGCTGTGTTTGTGGTAACAGTAAATAGTGGTGTTAAACACTCAAGCATGATGTTAAAATGCTAAAAACAGCTTTAATGTAAAACAGACCAAATGAGAACGAATGCCATGTCATCTAATGCAAAGATATAATATATGGTGACACAGGATAGATTTGGTAAATCAAGATATATTTATTCTTAATTTATTACAGTTACAAAACTACTTCCACATTTCAAACTATTATTTGTTAACAATTCAGCTCTACATTAAAGCGTGTTAAGATTTTTTCAGATCCTTAGTACCGTATTTTCCGGCGTATAAGGCGACTGGGCGTATAAGACGACCCCCTAATTTATTAGCCGTATAAGACTACCCCCCCTTAAGAGTCCAACCGGCAGCGCCCCAGCGCCCCTCCGCCTCCGCAGCTTTGCTCCTGGTGTCCCTGGTCTGCTGGAGACGGTCCCCAGCAGACCAGAGGCACCAGGAGCAAAGCCGCAGCAGCTTTGAAAGCCTCGGGGGAAGCCGGCGGGGGGGGGGGGGCGGGGCGGGACGGGGGGGGGC